TTAGCCACTATCCATTATTATTACCAAACTGAAACTACGTCTAGTATCTAGACATCCGCGAAGAACCTATATGCCAATAGAGATTGATCGATTCAGTCCAATCACTGACGGGTGATTTCAAGTAATAACATCATAATGTACTTGATTAGAAAATTTAGTCTTTTCCAATGTATCGTAGTCTAGCCCAGAAAAAAATAAGTTGAAATAATTTCACTATTACAAATTTGGTAAAACAACAGAAGACTGGAGAATTCGATGATTTCAAATCCATATTTTGAGGAGAGCAGATTTGTTACAGTGATACTAAGTTAAAATCAAAACTAATATTTTATTTGTGACAAAATGTATAATCTTTACATATAGATACATGAACAATGCATCCTATTTGAATATTTTTTCGTTTTTTTAAAAATTAATAAACATTGATCATATATCAGATCAACTGACAACATGTGTTATTTTAAATCCTCCACCAGTAAAACGTGCTTGTGAATCTTTTGGCTGTTCGTGTAATATTGATTGCCTCTGCTGCTGGAGATGCCTTTGAATTTTATCTTCTTTTTGGCTATTATGACTTTCATTGGATAAATTCATCTTCTGTTGACGTCTTTTTTGTTTAAAGTAATTTCTCTTAACTTCTTGTAATTCACGATTCAGATGTTCTATTTCTGACTTATACTCAGCTATTTGACTTTCATAAACGTTCATCTCAGCGGTCATTGCCTTTTTCCACGAACATAAAATAAGAAATAAATTATATTGGATTACAGTGGAATTATGCAGTAAATGGGTTTTGTTGAGAAAGATATAAATGGTATTGTATGGGTAAGTGTTCATTTACACCTAAAAGATTATCTGTAACAATTATTTTCTCCTTATGTTTATTTTAAATGTATGCATAGAATCATTCGACAGCCGGTCCACCTACGTGTTTACGATGACATATTAATTTGTTTCTTGAGGTCAGAATTCTATCTGTTTCACATTTTTATTATCCCACAGAGCTATTTTATTTAGTAGCCTTTGATCAATGTGTTGAAGATTAAAAGATGGCATATTTTACAAAATGTCGAATAATCTGTACATATAGAATAAAGTTAATCCCATCACAAATTATACAGAGTATCTTTTGAAAATATCTATTTTGTTAGGGTTTCATAAAATGGTATCAAAAAGTCATGTAATGAACCCAATGTTCGTCTCATTTCTACAAACACTAATAACAATAGTAAAGATTATACTCTTTGTAAAGTAAGAAATTATTAATTAAAGCTGGAATACGCAATATTAAATAACTGCATCTTGGGCACGTTTTATAAGAATACAGTCAGTAAGCACAGAGTTGAGACTGATTCTTCATTAAATGCGATAAGAAACGTGACAGTTTTCCATAGTACATACTGGCTACCTATATCTACTTAATAATCTTTGATTTCTTTTAAACAAGTATTTCATCACTGCTTGCTTTGTTAGAATACGATTATCAATTCACTATCTTAGAATACCTCAAGAATAAGTTTTAGTCGAGTGTAAAAAGTTTGAATGCTGACCTTTTACTTCAAATAATAATCCATGCCAATGGCTAGGCAATCACCATTTAGTAACTGGAATTACACTAAGATTATTCTCACTTGAATTATGTTACTATATTGGGTAGTTATTTCTAAGGGGTAAGTGAAGCGTAAATTAAAATTTAGGTAGTGAAATTTTAACTTACCTAAAATAATTACACAATGGATGAAAGTGAGGTACTATACACAATTTCATATTTTGGATATCTGAGTGAGAACGGTTAGTCAACAAGTTGGCTCACTCTGTTACATAGAAAAAAAGTGCTTTCTAGATTCTCTTGGCTATGTGTATACACCTGGAGTGGATCACTACCTAGAATGAGAATTATTGGTTATGCAACCAGATTGGATATGTCTTGTATCTGTCTCTGTAGATCAATCCATTAGCAAACTGAGAAATAAGTACACTTTATATGGAGCAACATGAAGTCGTATGTGACTGTATCCTTACTACGAGACTAACAACTGTTTATCAAAGTAGAAAAAGAATTGTTCAGAATATAAAGTTAATATAAAGTTAATAGGATATTGAAAGAGGTGTAAATAGGCAATAAATGAAAACGGTAGTAATTTGTTGACAAAATGTGTTGTATTCCATGACGTCTACCTCAGTTCGGTTTCGAATAACCTGATGTTCTGACAATTGAAATCTATTCAATGGTATTATCAACGAATCACCTTAAAGAACCCATTTACTAATGTAATTTCATGACTTTAATAGTCTGAAGTTAAAGGTTCTACAGTTAGTTGATTGGAGGTTTCAATTGTCGTCCAGATAAAAGATTTATTCATATTTTTTGGTTTTTGACGGACCTGTTTACTAAATGTATGTTGTTTAATTATTTTACTTTTTTGTTTGTATTTCGAGTTTATCGTATGACCAAGAAGGTAGTGTTAACGCTTCTCAATATTCAGTAAATGGATATACTCTATAAAACTTATTAGAGATAACTCACTGGTATTGGTTATAATCTGCCTTGACCCATTTACTTTTAGAACAATATCAAGAGAAGAGAAAAATAACCTAAACACTACTTGGTTGAAGACGATCGGCAAGAAGCCTTGTTATACCTAATTATCATGCTTCTTGTCACTCATCAGCAAGTCATTCATCCAGCCTTGATGAAAATCAAGTCTCCTCTGAGATTTCAACCCATATCACCCATTGTTTTAGTCAGAGAATGTAACACTCAACTGATTGGACCATAACTGACTTCTTGTAGGACTGGATTATATACCGTGATCGGTCACTGGAGAACACCCAATTTCATGTTTTCTAGTTCTGAGTGCTGAATGGATTTTGTCAACCATTTTAAAATGTGGTGACCAAGCTAGGAGGCTTTCTGCCACGATGCATTTTGATGGTTGTTAGATGGTCGAAGGTAATTAGCAGAAAGTCCTATTGGGCCTAGGTTTCTTACCTTTTAGCACTCGTCAGCGAAGCCTATCTTCTACCTTGAGGGAACTGATTTCCCGTATGAGATTAACTGTCTTAAACAGAGGTTTTGTTATGAAGTCGATAGATCACTGAAAAAGCTAATAAATGCTGACAGCAAACTAGAAGTTTAATATTATGCACTACTTACTTTCATTTGTTTTATTTTATCTTTTATAATACTTTGATAAACGTTGAGTTGTTCTGCAACCTCTGGACCTGGCTGACGTGCCAATATATGTTTCAATTCGATGTAAATTTTCTCCTTCTCTTGAATCAACAGTTCTTTTTCAACTACTTCTTCTGTCTTACTAATAAGACGTTTTTGTAAGGCCTGAATTTTCTGTATCATTTCATATGTAGAAGGATCACTGCCCTAAATAGGTTAAAAGAGAGGACATAGTCAGTGAATTTATTTATAAACATTTCTGTATACGATAAAGAAGTGATGAGAGACAATCAGCAGTTTAAAAGTGTTACACAGTTTTATATACAGTCAAAAAATCTGGGTTTTGTAGTATCCCTACATCTATGAACAACTATTTCTGGACAATATATTGTATAAGGGGAATTTTGTGAAAAAGTGTTTAGCTGCACATCATACTCAAACGATGATTGGAAAAAGCTTTGCTGATAATTTCAATAGGAGTCCATTGATACAAAATAATTGTGCGCAACGCTTCACCTTTAAATACTGGTTATTTGCTCATCTCACAAGTGTCATTATCGATATTTATTCCTTTTAAAACTTCCCAATGTTTTGCAGCAATATACCTTATAGTAATTGTTTTCCATTTTATCAATATTAACTTTGTCCTTTTCTTAGGAAATTTTATGTAGGCATAACAATTGTAAAGCAATTTTAAAATTTATGAATGACTTGGTGAATAATTTAATACAATATTTGTCTTTTCTACTAGATCAAGGGTACAACAAGCTGAATCTAAAATCGTGCATTTTCTTTCAGTATATGACATTCCTAAAGAGATTCAGTATCATCTTATGATTTCATAAATCATACTTATTCCAAGTGAAGCGATATACTGTGGAATATTTTTACGATAATCCCTGGTAAACAGTTTTCAACACAACCTACAACCTCAAAACAAAAATAATAGATTTTTTCCAACAATAAAACCAGAACAGTTTGAGAAATAACTAAAACCAACTTCACATTACTTGTGGAAGGAATTCAAATTCTCTCCATGTATCAAAGTAGTATATCTAAATTAAAAAAACAATCTCAGTAACTTCAATAATCCATTACTTGAGTTCAATCAAAAAAACTTAAATAAAGTTACAAAGATAATGGTTAAACTTATATAATTCGGCTTTTGCCGGCATTTATTTATATTTTTGGTGAACTTTCAGGTTTAGTCATCAGTTAATTCTAATGAAGCTTCTTCAGTAATTAGTTAGGTTCTTGATATGTCATTCAACCGAGGAGTAAAACAATATCATATTTTAAGGTTCCTCAAAGATATGTAGTATTGTCAATCACTCAGGTGAGAAATATAGTGAACTATTTAATATCAATTGAATGGAATCACTGAAATTAAAATTGGACTGAAAAAGAATAGTTAGTGGACAGAAAAAATTAAGCAAAAGCGATGATTCTATCTAGAAGTTTGTGGAGGTTTATTAATTAATTTGGGTTTGAAATCATCACGGACTGATATCAGTTAGAGGAGAATTGGAAACCTGGGAGCATTGGACAGCTGTTTCGTCCTAGCATGGGACTCCTTAGCAGTGCGCACCCATGACTTCTCTAGAAGTCGGACCCATGACCTCCAGGTTCCGCGGCCAGTAGGTTACCACTGAGCCATTGGGTTGGAATCCAGTCGCCTACATTTCCTAATTCTGTCAGTTCATGGTATAGCGCGACCTACATCCAATGTCGTATTTGAATAACTGTCCTTATGTTCGACTTGGTTGACTCCATTGGTCAGAACTTCTCATTGGAACTTTGGGAATCACTTCTCTCAGTGATGAAGTACTGGCCACGGGACTTGAAGGTCCTGGGTTCAACCCATGGGGAGGTCATCTTTTCGTACTGAGGAGTTCCATACTAGGACGAAATAGCTGTCAAGTGCTCCAAGGTTTCCAATTCTCCTCTAACTGGTGTCAGTCCGTGATGAATTACAACCTAATAGCGATAGTTGATTTAGTATGTAACTATTAGTTAACCATTTGTAAATACACAGACCAGACAACAGACCTTTCACAGGAGCGTAACGATTAATGTTGTCATACTTCCGAACAACACAAAATAATGCAGTGAACAGGAATGAAAGAATGTATGAATAAGTATAAAGAACTCAGAAATACATAGAGATACGACATACATTCAATATTTTGAAGATATTAGCGAGAGCGCATACATCTTTGTCACTGGTCCCAGCATTTAAATCCATCGACTGAGAGGTCCTCATGACTTTATCTCTCTCTGAAAGGACTGTCTGGCAAGTAAAAACATCACTCTACTGAAGACCGTTTACTTGAACATCCGTGGGCGTATTAAAGCCTGTGGTGAGTTATCAAGTGAGTTATGTACCTAAAATGGTATCCAACAAGTATATACGTTCCCAACATTCTTGTTTAATTTTATCTTAAATATACTTATAGATGTCTTCCTATCGTCACCTGACTGTACAGGTATTTATTTTGTCAAAAAAAACTCTTCAGAAGATCCGGAGTAAGCAGATGGTATAGTTATG